CTTCTTGCTTTATTTCCAAATAAAATTTTATTCTTTTTAAATCCCTTCCATTACATGGGTGATGGAGAGGATAATGGAAAAACACAAACAAGATGTTCAAGTTACAGTCTGGAGTGTACAACTTTTTATATGCCGGGGCAGTCCTTTCATATGATTTTTATTTCTTGTGGACCTCCCAGACATGTCCAGTCACATCTTGCTGATAGGACACAGGTGTACACACACATACACACACACACACACACACACACAAGTGCATATGCACACTCCTCCTGTTGTTTAAGATTACATTGTTCTAGGATGTAAGAAGACCTAGGTGTCTAATACACATGAAGACAAGAACAAATTCACCTGGTGATGAGATACACTGCTACAGTGAGAATCCCACCCATGCCCGCCCATATTCTATTTATGTGCAAAAACAGACATAGAGTTTCCAGCCCCCTTATTACCTAGCCAGGCTGCTCATGCCTCACCTTGCAAAGCTGGTTTTGCTTCCAAACAAGAAATGAATTGTACCTCATGCTCCAAACAGTGTATTGTGTAGAAGTGTGTGGCAAATAAAGCCACTTGCCTAGTGGCTAGGAAGGAAAAGAGAGACAGACTATTTTCCCATGATTCCCTCTTAGGGAACAACCTCAATGGCATGAAGACACCCACCCACCCACCCACACACACACACCACCACCACCATCACCACCACCACCACCACCACCACCACCACCACCACCACCACAGGACCACAACCACTAAAAACAAGCTAGAAACCAGTCCTTTCGCAGAGGTCTTTGGGGCAGTCAGAATCAAGCCATAGCGATAATCTAGTGCTTCATGAGATCATTTAAGTGGCACAGAGACATCACCCTAAATTAATGTCTAATCATAAAATAAAAAGTTAATTCCCTCTTTGTTATCCTTGATTCTTCTGATTCTATTTAGAAGAGTTTCGATTTCACACCACTGTGTCTAATGCCTCTCTCATACTTAGTAACATCTGTACTTAACACATACAGAGTCTCAGAATTTTATTTTTGGTGAGATCTAAGGCTCTCAGTTCAAAGCCGGCCAGGTAGAAAAGTCTATGAGAGTCTTATCTCCAATTAACTATTAAAAAGCCAGAAGGAGACAGATGTGGCTTAAGTGGTAGAGCACAAACCTAAAGCGAAAAAGCTAAGCAAAAGTACAACACCCCAGTACTGGTACAAAACCAAGCACAAAACAAACCAAAAAGTCCTTTGGTTAATGTAGGGCAACATTTAGATTTGTGATAAATAGTTAGCACTATATTTACTCTTGTCAATGTATATCCTTTATTAGCAAAGAGAATTTGCATTATAAATATTTAGAGGAGGCACTCTATGTTTTTGTGTTCATGAGAAAGTTTGCCACTGGCCAATTTATGAACATATGCAGCTAACCACACAAAGTTAATGTCGCTGGTCCTGTTACTGATGGAGCAAGCTGCCCCCCCCCTTTTTTTTTGCCAGTCGTGGGGCCTGAACTCTGGACCTGGGCACTGTCCTTCTGCTGTTCAACTCAAGGCTAGCTCTCTACCAGTTGAGCCACAGCACCACTTCCAGCTTTTTCTGCTTGTGTGGTGCTGAGGAATTGAACCCAGGGCCTCGTGCATGCAAGGTAAGTGCTCTACCACTGAGCCACCTCCCCAGCCCAAGCTGCCCCTTTTTATGTTGAGAGGCCAGTGTTGAAGTAAACTAGAAAGAGCTTCCCTTTTTTGAAGATATTTTCTACTTGGTATCACCAAAATATATCCTAACCTTGTCAAGTGTAACGTCTGTTAATCAGCCAGTAGACTACATTAAAAAATGTAATAACTAAGAAGTAGAAATGTGGCTCAAGTGGTAGAGAGCCTTAAGCAGAAAAAAAAACTAGTAACTAACCATATTGAAGTTGATTATTTGAACTAATATAAATTTATTGAAAATACCTTATTTTCTACTCATTTTGGATCAAAGAAGAAGTAGAGTTTAGGAATGCCCTTCCTTCCTTGCTTTCCTTCTTTCTGTCTCTTTCTCTCTCTCTTTCTTTCATTTAGTCTTCCTTCTTTCCTTCCTTCCTTCCATACTAGTGCTGGGGCTTACACTCAAGACCTGGGTGCTGTCTCTTAGCTTATAATTTATATTCAAGACTGGAACTCTAACATTTGAGCCACAGCCCCACTTCCAGCTTCTTGCTGGTTAAATGAAGGTCAGAATCTCATGGACTTTGCCACCTAGACCATAATCCTCAGATCTTGGCCTCCTGAGTAGCTCAGGTTCCAGGAATGAGCCACTGGTTACCTGGCTTAGAAATTTCTTAATATTAATGAACCAAAAATAACAACACTCCTTGAGAACCCACATAAGCCATCCAAAACAATATGATCTTCAGTGTAAAAGTTCGATTTGCAGGGATATTTTTTTACGTATAATTTAATAAGACCTAGCCTTATGTCGCTATGCATTTTAACTTTACATTGTAGAACTGTTGTTCACATCTCCGATTGTTGGTTAAATTCCCAGTCAGTGTCATGTGAGGCAACTAAAGCCAATACTAAAAATGTGTTTTCTCTCCCTTGCACACATATGTGCTTTGCATGGCTCCCTACAGAGCTAATGATGCTGTTTCCAAACAATTGTAATAGTAACAAAGATTTAAAAATGAAGAACTATAAAGCAAGCCAACTGTAGAATCACTCACCTGGCATCCTTGCAATGTCACATTCAAATTACTAATGATCTGTTAATCAGGACAGTTATCAAGAGGAAAAGGTTGAGGCCCAGAATGTCCATAATCTTAATATTGCTTAGAAAATCATGTCTTTCTGTTTTCTCTGTAAGCATAAACAATTGCTTGGAAGATATTTAGCTTGATATTCCCACCAGGTCTTTTACCTGCCCACTTGCTCCCATTCTTCTAAAATATTTAACAGAATTCTAAATCCAATTTCTTATGTTTTCCTTATATATGAAAACATTACAGCAAGAGTAGAACCAAGATTTTGTTTCTTTGTATGTTCCTCCCCCATTGTATAACCCCTGTTTTCACTGTATTTGATGTCGTGCTTGTATCTTATATATGGACTTCTCTAGCTTGGGGAGAGAAAGGGAAAAAAAAACAAAATGTTTAAATAGGGATGCAGGTTGTAACAATGAGATGTACAAGATACTATGTTGAAAATTTACAATTGGTGGGGAGGGGGGGTCGCGGGGGGGGGAATGGGGGGGAATGTGGTTGTGGAGGTGGGAGGGCAGGGATGGTAAGGGAAAAAACAAAGGAGGAGGCAGCAGTGCTTGATAGAAGATATACTCATTACCTTGCTCATGTAACTGTAACCCTTCTGTACAGTATATTTACAATTAAAAAGGTATTTTTTAAAAGAGTAGAACAAGGATTCTTTCATAGTTGTTTGGAAGATGTTCCATATAATTCAGACCTCTTTGTGACTCCATTTTCAGTTCTTCCATCTGTGTCAAGAAAGAAGTATATAAATACGTGGATGTGTGTATAATATACATACATATATCCTGACCCAGTTTTATCTAAGAAGCTTATAGACCCTTAAGTCAGTCTAAATACTCTTTAGATTTTAAGGATTTAAGCATTTGGCATTCTTTTCTTCTTACCCTCTGAATATGACACATCTCATTTCCATCCTGGTCCACTGTGTTTGGTGTAACCATTGGATTGGGAAAAGACAAAAAGTAATGTTAGATTACACTTGTAGACATCATATCTAAATCTATGCACAACCTTCACAGAAGTAAATTTAACATTCTCTTTCTGTGTGTGTGTGTGTGTGTGTGTGTGTGTGTGTGTGTGTGTGTGTGTGTGTACTGGGGATTGAAACAGATCCTTGAATTTGCTAGGCTGGCACTCTACCATGTAAAGTTTGCCTCCAGCCCTTTGGCTGTCATTGTGTTTCTGGGAGGGCTCCACAGTAGCTAGGATGACAGACGTGTAACACCTCACCCAGCTTTTATATCAGTTAGGATGAGTTTTTGTGAACTATTTGCCCATACTGGTCTTCAGGCACAACCGCCTGGATCTCAGTCTTCTGAATAACAAAGTTGTTTCTTTCTTTCTTTTTTTTTTTTTTTTTTTTTTAGTCTGTCATGGGGCTTGAACTCTGGACTTGGGCACTGTCCCTGCGCTCTTCAGCTCAAGGTGAGCGCTCTACCTCTTGAGCCATAGCGCCACTTCCAGTTTTCAAGTGGTTTATCGAAGATAAGAATCTCAAGGAGTTTCCTGCCTGTGCTGGCTTTGAACTGAGATCCTCAGATCTCAGCCTGCTGAGTAGCTAGAATTACAGGCATAAGTCATCAGTGCCCAGCACAATGTTGTTTCTTAACCTGATACTGACACACCTGGTAGCATTGAAATTTTCATAACTTTTTGACTCTAAGGAAATGAGCATTCCGATATAAGTGTTTATCATGACATTTCTAATTAATATTCTGAGAAACTTTCAGTACTTAATGCTCAAGAACAAGAATTGGTTGAGTAAAATTGTAGCGTATCCACATAGTAAAGTTTTAAGCAGCTATAATCAGAGTTGATGCTCTTGAAGAATTTCTAACATGACATATCAAAAATTCTCAGGCCATGATAAAAACCAAAGCCAAAATTTCCTTCCCAGTCCATTGTTAACGATGTATCCCTGATATGAACAAGGAGTAAGAGAATAGTACGTACACCAGAATGTTATTGTGGTTGTTTTTATTCTTTCCTTTTGTTCTAATTATTTGTTTCTGCTATACATCTTCCTAAGGCTTTTAAAATTGCCTGTTGTGGTAAAGAAATAAAATACAGAGGAAAATACTATGCAGCAATTGCAAGAAGACACATTTTCCTGTCCATTCTCCCTCCTTGGTGAGCCATATAACTGCTTCTTGCTATGGCTCTTCCTGCAAATGCACACTATTGCCTCTCCCATCGGAAAGAAAACCAGGAAGAAAGGTGATGATGAGAATCTGTGTCACCTACTGTCTGTTCTTTTTCAGCACACAACCGTTTTGCCTTTTATATTAATCGAGATGAGGACCTCACACCATCAGTATCCCAGCAGGAGCAGCGGACTGACTGCCATCTGCACCTTCTCTGTGGGCTATATATTATGGTAAGGACCATGCCTGCTGGGCTTTCCTATCCTGCACTGCTAAATTCGGGCACATGTTGCAATATTGATATAATCACTAACAGATTCACACTGCGTGCCTCATTTGGTCCAAGACCTGGGCTTTGTCTCGTTTCCCCAGATGCTTATATTTTTAGAAAGTATATGCCAAACCTCACACAGCAGGAATTTGTTGAACAATCCCATGTAAGCAGTGGTTCTTCCAAGGGTACATTTTTCAACTCTTTTTCAAACTAAATGTTTTTCTTGGATACGCATTTTATAGCTTAAGGGCTTTTTTTGTTTTTTGCATAGCATTTGTTGTTGTTGTTGCTGCTGCTTTTATTGGGGGATGGGAGAGTTGCAGCAAACACAAATGCAAAAAGAGAAAATGGCTTCTTGGAACGAACACCTTACACTTAATAGGAAACAAGTAAAAATGTACATTTGTATGGATCTGTTTCAAACCAATGCCAGAATTAGCTATTCCATATAGATTGTATTTATGTGTGGAATATTGGGGGTAAATAAACCAGAAGAAATTTCCACATGGCCTGTTGGGTATGACAAGGGTCATCTTAAGAATGAGATGCAAGGTTTATCTGATTAAGACTTTTTTTTTCCTGCCAACCTTACTTCATCTTAATTTCAGTTTTATCATGCTTTAACATTTCAAAATTCCTTATCTTAATGTGAAGATTCCTTATTTCTTTTTAGAATTCCAAACCCTCTTGGATGTATTAACCCACATGGAGAAGGTCCCTCCCACCAGCATGCCCACCTCTTGGGACTCTTGTCCTGAGTTATGGGTCACCACCCCGCCCCTCCTCTTAGCCTGAAGGACTGGATGATGTCCTTCCCAAACACCCACAACTGCATTTAATCCTGCCAAAAGCCCAAAGCTTTGGGAAGTCCTGTCTCCGTGGAGCATTTTTGCTCCAGCCAGCCTAGAAATACAAGATAAGGTATCCAGTACAGGACTTTACAGACTATTTGCCTGAGCAATCACATGATGTCCTGGAGCTAAGCAGAAAGAGTATCTGCTGAGGAAGTTATACCACGTGGCTGGATCTTAGGAACGTGCTGAAGAAGGCCCTGCAGAAAGAACACGCAGTAGAGCCTATCTATCTGCCAGTTCACCAACCCACGGAAAGACCACTTGCAAGGAGTAGGGCAGAGTTTGTTTCTCGAACCATTCTCTAGGGTTTAGGACTTTCTTCCTCCTTGAAATCTTAAGTATTGACTTTCTGTGATAAAGAAAGCCAGATGATTAGTATTCACAGGTAAAAATGTGACCAATGCTGTGCTTTAAAATGAGCTTAGATGCTTTATACCTACAAACTTATAAGTCAATGACTGTCACCTTTTGGAATAATCAAAAAGTGAAATGACATGATCTTTCCAGGGATGCTTACAAAGTTTAAAAATAACGGATGGAGCTGGGGACCAGTGGCTCACGTCTGTAATCCTAGCTACTCAGGAGGTTGAGATCTGATGATCACAGTTCAAAGCCAGCCCAGGGAAGGAAAGCCCATGAAACTCTTACCTCCAATTAACCACCAGAAAACTGGAAGTGGCATTGAGGCTCAAGTGGTTGAGTACTCACTTTGAGCTGAAGAGCACAGAGACAGTGCCCAGGCCCAGAGTTCAAGCCCCACAACCAACAACAACAACAAAATAACGGATGGCTCATGCCTATAATCCTGTCTGCCCAAAAGGCTGAGATCTAAGGATTGTGGTTCAAAACCAGCACCAAGCAAGAAAATCTGTGAGACTTTTATCTCCAGTTAACCAGCAAAATGTCATATGTGGATCTGTGGTTCAAGTGGTAGGGTGTCCAGCCTTGCAAGAAAAAGCTAAGGGACGGTACCTAGGCCCTGATATTCATACATACATACATACATACATATATACATAAATTCTCTCATCCAGTAACCCCAACCCCAAATACAGACATTACTCTACACAACAGCCATGTTGTTCCCTCTGGGATCTGTGGCATATTTCTGAGAATTCATTTCTATGCTATTAAATTAACTTGCAGAACCCCAGAGAATGGAGGAACTGTATTGTTTCTGATGGCCTGGTTTCCCCTGTATGTACAATCAGTCCATGTTCCAAGGAGACACATGGGAAATCCCGCACAGTGCTCATTATAGACCCCCAAGATCCCTCATTAAAATGAAGCATGACTCACACTCTTCATGCCAAGTGAAGCTTGCCAGCCCCATGTTCTCCCTCCGCAAAGCAGTAACTTGTTTGGACATGTATTTGCATTCACCAAGCGAATTCCCTCAGATTTGTTCTGAGAACGCTTTCAGAGTCAACTTTTTCCTTTGGTGTTCTGCCCTCGGCATTCCGAGCTATGCCAAGAGCTAAACAATGTCCCTTGCATCATGTCACATTATATAAATCCAAGGATTTAATTGTTATCAAAAAAGCACTAGCTTTCGTTCCTTTCCAGGCTGTCTCAGGGCCGACATGCCAGGGACACAACACGGAGAAGTTTGGGATATGACATCTTTTGATAGCATACCAGGGTTGTAACTGGACATTCCAGAACCTCATGCCAAGACGGAAGAAAGCCTTCTTATCGTGTGCGAATTATAACATAAACAGATCTCCTTAACAACTCTGAGTAAGGTTGAGTCAACTCTATAGCTTGGGGCTGCTGGTCAAGCTGTTTGTCTGCTTTTCTTGGCTTCTCACTGGCTAGCCATTCTCACAAGTCTCTCTCCCTGTCTAATTCTATTCATTTCCTACATTTGGATCATGAGTCGAGAAAGTAAGGGCGAGACACCCATACTTCCAGGTGTCTCATTGGTCCACCTCACTGGTCCATTTCCCAAATCCATGTTAGTCCTCCTCATGCTGGTCATCTGTGGACTATCATAGACTCCTGTCATATATATATACATATATATATATATATGACATATATGTGTATATATGTGTGTATATATATGTGCATATATATGCACACACACACATATATATGCACCCTATTTGTAGGAACCTCTGTCATAAAAGAGGATGCTTATTATCTCATGCACAGAGATCCTCATGGTCAATAATGAAAAAGTGATTATCAAGGATCGTAATGAGTGCTATTCTTTGGAGACAGACATTGTGCTAAATGCTTTTTTAAATATCATCTTATACTCTTTGGTTTAAAAATCAAAAACAATGCTGAAGTTCACTTCCAACATAGTGTATTGTGAGTCTCATTGTTGCAATGGGTCATCCTGTGACCTTGTTTCAGCATTTGGTTATTCCCTCCCCTCCCCAAATTAGATAAATCTATATATAAGATGCAAGATACCAAAATCAAATACAGTGGCAACAGGGATATACCATAGAAAGAAGAACATACAAAAGAAAAAAATCACGTAGTACATTAAAAACAAAAAAAAAAACCCTTGTGTCCATATCTTAGGGTTCATTTGCTTAGCATCATCTTATATGATCATATATACATAGCTTTTGAGCTTTTCTGTTTATCTGATAAGATTATCCTAAATGTATACTAATTATTGCAAATAAGGGAAAGGATATAAAAATATAGACCATTTCCTATTGTCTATATTCCAGGTTGCATTCTCCCAAAAGTATTTATTGAATAAATTTCCCATGAAGAAGACAGAGAAAATTAAAAATAAAGTAGGACCTTTTTGATGATGTAATTCTAAATTGTCTCATATCTGAATTCTACCTTGCACCAAACTTTATTACCCCTTAGTGATACCATTGTGCATTTTTGTTTTCTTATGGAAACTTTCCTATATTTTCTCACATAAATTATTTCCATTTGCATACATTATCTTTAAATTGAAACATCCTGGAAAACACAAATAACAATATCCAAAAATCAGAAGTAGCACTGTGGCTCAAGTGGTAGAGCACTAGCCTGGAGCTGTAGAGCTGAGGGATAGCACCCAAGCACAGAGTTCAAGCCCCACGACTGACCAAAAAAAACACACAGAATATCTAAAAATTAAGAAATCTGAGAAATATTTTTCAGTCATGAGTAAGTAAAACTTTTAGCAGGAAAAATAAGCATTTAGACAACATTAAGGCCTCTTTTCTCTAATTTAACTGGGTGCTTCTTCACCAGTGAAACAAATCCCACCAACATATAGTTGTTCTTTGACCAGAGGAACGTATCTCTTTTTTTCAACTTGAACCATTCACCATACCATAACTACCTATTCTTTTGAATTTTGCATCTATAATAGTATTTGAAAGTTTTTCTGGCATTGATACAAGCTGAGAGCATAATTTTATAAAAAGCTGGTGTTTCAAGAGAGAACAGAGAATTCCTTGTGGATCTCTTTGACACACAGGGAGGCTTGCTGCTGAGCTGACTTGGTCGCCCACACTGGAAACACAATCCCTGGGTGCAACTTAGCCAGCAGCAGGAAACTGCAGACAATCCTCCAAGAACAGAGGTCAGGAAGTGCTGCAAAGGTCAAGGAAGCCAGCCGTGTACCCTACACCTGGACAGTGCAGAAAGAAGCCTTCACACATACGCACCTTGTGCAGAAGTGAGCATTTGCCCTTCAGGCTCCTTGGCATTAACATGTAAGAAGTGGGATTTTGTGAGCAAAGCAAGGGCACTGCACAACCACGAGCAATGAAGTCAAAAGACATTTATCCTTCTCCTATTCCATAAACTAACCCTTTGGACAAGGAAAAGACACCCAAGAACCAGGAGGAGCTCTCTTCTTCAGAGAACTGGAGCGCATGGTAGAATGAAGATGCAAGGCTCCCTCCACTGAGACTTCAGCAATAAACCTGGTATGAGAGCAAAGCAGAAAGCCAGCATGTTGTAACAGAGCAAGTGAGAATCTCAGAGACTCCTGGGGTCGGGGAAGATCACATTGGGCCTGGGAGACCATTGTAACAGCTTGGTGGCCAGTGTGCAATGGGAAGGCACTGGAAAGTTTGAACCAAGAATTGACATGAGCTAAGATGTTTTGAAAGGATCCCTGTTGCTGCTGAGC